GTTAAGGGGCACTGTGTTGTGGTTTTCTCTATCAAGCATCTATCATTCTGACCTCTTGTCCTTCTTTTTTTGTGTTTCTTGCACTCTTGTAAAACCTCTAATCTTGGGCACTTACATAACCATAGTGTGTTGCAAGTGGAGTAAAACTGTTACCAAAACTAAAACTAACGTTTGGATAGACTACTACAGTACTGCTGTATGTCTACTCCCCCGGCCTCTGATGTGAAGAGGATAGGCGTTTCACCATCGCACGCAGTAGACTTATGTCTGTTTCGCGTGTGGGGAGAATTTCTAACCGAGTTCTTATCCTGGACTTTCTATTGAAATGTTGTATCCCTCTCGGCCTGGGTTGGCTCTGACAGGCATGGTTGAAGCCGGACTCCCACATTATCTAAACTGTGCAGACAGGGGCGTAGAAAAGCATCCCGATTTCAACAGAATCTGTCTACTCTAATTAAAACGGTGGTTGAGGTAGTTGTCGGGGACTCTGATATTGTTTACTCGTTCTTTTCTATCTTAGCGTCTTTCGTCCTTGTCTCTCCTCCATTTTCTTTGGATGTTACTCGTTGGTAGTAACGCCAGAAATATTCGTCATTTATATGACCAATTGGTGTAGCAAATTCCGTAACTTAAACTAAAATGTTAATGAGATAAATTTTTAATCGTCACAGGTAGAACAGTTTCTTCATCATGTTAAAAAAATGAAGACAAGCAGTATAACAGTGATTGCTGTTAGTTTGTTGGGTTTTTTTTCATTTCAAACATTTTACAGCCCCTTTCGACACTATATTTTATATCATTTAAGGGGCACTGCTTCAATTCCTTCAGTCAAATCCAACCTAGAAAGATGGCGATACAGTAGTATCCCTAAGAAAATATTGAGATATAGGGAAGATAGACCCACCCTGTTGGAGATCATTGGTGTCTGTTTTGTAACGTACAAGGAGCTAATAGCCGGTCTATGGAGGTTTCTGTTGTTGTTGTTGTTGTTGTTGTTGTTGTTGTTGTTGTTGTTGTTGTTGTTGTTGTTGTTGTTGTTGTTGTTATTATTGTTTTGTTTTCGATAATCGAGTATCTTCGCCTGTCTAATGAGACGTTGAATTCCTCTCTGCCGAGGTTTGCCCTAACGGACGGGGTCGAAGCAGCCCGTCTCCTAAGTGTCGATGAGATTGTAAAACGTCTACAAAATCAATTGACGGGGATTGAACTCATGTCTTCTGCACGCAACGCAAAAGAGCTTATTCATTCATTACAGCACTGTTGCGGGCAGTGTCCTCTTCCTGGCACAGGCACAGTGGGGAAAAGCCAGGTCACAGTTTATTACAAGTATTATTCATCTTTCATGACTTGTTTTCAACCTAAGCGTTCTTCTCTTGCCAAGAACCGAAAACTCTGCCAGTAAATGGTTCTTGTTGTGTGTAGAAGGGCACTGAACCTGAGAAAAGGCAAAAGGGGCATCGGTGTAGGATGAGCCAACAAGCAGTTAGAGAGGGACGTGGGTGGTTGGAGGGTGCTCTGGTGTGGTTTGTTCCTTTTTTCCTATCAAACATCTATCGTCCTTATCACTACTCTGACGTTGACCAGATGACAAGGACATGTAGTTACTTTAGGGAGGCATTGCGCTGCCATGAGCGAAATACTCGTAGCTAAAGGGATTTGAAAACAACAACAACAACATAGTCCTTATCTCTTCTCCTTTTTGTGTGTGTATCTGTTACTCTCTTGTAACACCTCTAATCTTCGGCACTTATATGACCAAATATGTTGTAAGTGCCGTAAAATGATTACTAAAACAAAAAGAGAGGCACTGATAGGCTATATACCTATGACGTTATGCTTTTTCATTGCACAAAATGCCGTAGCCGTGTCGATGCGTTTCTCTTTACTCAGAACAACAAGCTAAGTATGATGAGTGAGTAGGCGGTTGGTGGGTGCTCTTGTGTGCTTTACTCCTTCTTTCCTATCAAACATCTATCGTCCTTTTTTCTCCCCATTTTTTGTATTTGTCGCTCTCTTGTCAGACTTCTAATATTCGGCATTTATATGACCTAATTGTTTTGCAAGTGCCCAAAAACAATTACAATACAAAGAGAGGTTTTTCTGTTTCTCTGTTGTTTCTGTCGGTCAGTCTTACTCTTTCACAGCACAAAATATCCGTTGCCGTTTCAATGTTCTTGTTCTTACTCAGAATAGCATGCTAAGTACGGTAAACACTCGAGAAAAAGAGAGACTAATGATAATAAGTAGCATAGAGCGCAAATTCCGGCTCAACAGCAAGCTTAATGCGCCTTACAGTTTATAGTATCAGCCCAGCAGACCTATAGTATTGTGAAACAATCTCAACATCATTAAAAGTACACAAAATGGGAATTGTCATTTTAGAAGTGATAAAGTCCTAACGCACTGACAAGACCTTTCTCTAATAATGGCCGGGTATCCAATCACACATAGTTGACATGAGGACAATTCGTGCAAAGTGTTTTCCTTTCCCTGAGCTTCGAACCGCAATCGAACAATTATGAGTCAGGTAGCCTAACCAATAGACTACCAAAGTGGGAGAGGGGTGGATTAGTTTATGGATGCTGGATTATCCTGCTGGTAGTTGGTAGTGTTATGTAATTGCAGATATTTATCGCCCTCATAGACGCAATAAAGATATTATTAAGGAGGGCCGCTGTTTTGGTCCTACATGTCAACCAGGTCTGAGTGGGACTCAATATCCCTACACAAAATGTAGGAGATACTCGATAATAAATAGACTTCACCTCCTCCCCCC